TCCTCCAGTTTATAAGATTTCTTCAGTATCAAATTGATTCAATGATAGTTGATCAGTCAGTACATCCAATGGTACACAGCAAACGTGAACTTTTTAGGCTATAAGTTATTTGGCGAGCTCATTATTTAAATAGCACACCATGCTGGGTTCATTCGGAGTAAAGCTCGGCATGAATACACGGTACTGACAAGCACTTAATGGCAAATAAAGAGGCCTGAGTGGGTTCCCTTGTATTGCACTATAGCCCACAATATACATAAAACTTTGGTAGCCTGCTGTGTTGTGGGCAGAATATTAGGTCACTTGTATTCTCTTGCTGCAAAGAAACATTCACAGCTGTGAATATGTAGGCACATTTAGGATTACCTGTCACTGTGATGTTGATGGTGTTGCTGTACTCCCCCCCGCTCAGACTCACACCAGTACACTCCAGTGTCTGATGGGTAGGCATCAAAGTGCAAGTGCACACCTCAGACTTGCTACAGGATGTTTTTCTTCTCACTCTCCAGCCGCTGGAGTCTGACAGTGTCGCGCACCTCAGAGAGATGTGGTTATACTGAAAGAACTGAGATCTCGTGCTCAGTGTGGCTGCAGAGGAGGTCAAACCTGAAATAATGAGGAATGGATTTAAATTATTTCTGTGTAAGCAGCTGAACATATGTGTTAAATGCAGACATTGCTGTGGTGAAATTCAAAGCTGTATTAATCAAGATTGTTTTGTATTAATATTCAACTGAATGGCAACACGTCCTCACACTGCATGAAAAGTAGGATTTTCGGCAGTTAATGTTATATTGCAGTTGATGTTCAGGTTAACGGCTGCTCATGAGGATTTTTGGTCAGCACCAAAATGTGTCATAAACTGCCAGGAGTTGATGTGGATTTTGTCAGTGTTGCCCCCATGACCCCCCCTTTCCCTAGGTCAGGGGGAAGTTTTCACCTGCTGGGAGCTATGTATATAAAAATATGCTTTAGTACAGAAAGTTTAATGCATCCTGTCATTGTGTTAGTTATGGATGGAATGATATTGAAAATAAATTAGTCCTCGGAACCCTCTCAAGGACCCCTGGGGGTCCCGGGACCCCACTTTGAGAACCAATGTTATAAGAAGCATGAAGAAGAACGAAGCCACTCAGTTCTACACTTCAAAATGATAAAAGTCCACTTTGATTTAATAGATATTCTGTGAAGTCACTTGAATTGTTTTTCAGTATCTTATACTAAACAATATGATTGAGAGGATATGAGTTTATTTTATTTACGTATGCATAAATATTATGAGGATTAATCTTTAGATCCACACTCCATACGAGCTGGTGGCGGTAATGCACCAATTCATTGTTTACCAGTCACTAATAATATTCATGAAGAAGAACTTAAAAGACAGAATACATTTTTTGCCATTCACTTCCTACATACTGTAGATGAAAATTGGAGGGTGTGTACCGGACCTTCATTGTCGTAGTTTCTTAAGTTAAGTAAAAGGTCACAGTTTGGTTAGGATAAGGCAACAAAACTACGCCTTACAAAGCACGACAAAGTATCTGTATTATGGCATTATTGAAATTTCTCACAAAGTCCTCCTCCTCTTGTCTTACCAGACTCCTGAGCACTGTAAGTGTCTATTAGACAAGATTAGTGTCTATTAGACAAGAGCAATCTGGGAAGTGGTAAAGCCTTAAATTCAACCTGGGTTAGCTTGACTCTTGACCCGCTCTCTTTCCTCTGTTCCTGATTAGACCTTTTGTCTGGCTGGTCTGGTTGTTTTTGACAGGATATGCTGTGGCTAGTTAGCGATTCCAGTTCCACGGCACTCAGTCCTTTCTTTTCCAATGGTGATTAGTTTACTTCTGTCATGGTGATCATAATTAAATGTGTTTCCAATGTGGAGAAAAAACAAATTAAAAAACTAAAATTTACTACTGGTTGCTGCATCTGCACGCGCTGCCGTTGCCATGGGGCCAACAACGTTAACCACTAGTTTTATTGTGACCAGTTTTCCTCATTCCCCTGTTGGTGAAGTAGGTCAAGAAAGCTAAACAAAACAAAATGTTGTGCAGATGACAGACAAAAACATAAAAGGGTTCAAGTAAATGATGAAATGAAATGATTTATAGGCAATACACTGCACTCTTACACTTTAATCCAGGAAAGGGGCATGTGATTTGAACAGTTTGATATTACATCACTTTGTTTTCTTTTTAATGTTTTCTTTTTGTATTTAGGGATTAAACAACAAGAATAAATAAATTTAGTTTGCCGTCGCTTCCCATGCATCTTCATAATCAACGGGACTAAATTCTTATATTATTTCTATGAGGCACCTCAAAACAGCAGCAACCTCCTTCTGCAGTTTTGGTTTTCTGTCATTTTCCTAAAAAAAACAACAACTTCAAATGATGCTTCTAATGTTGTGCTGCCATTTTGTGCCAATCAATTATTACACTACAACAGATAAAAGTACAACTGGGATGAATTCAGATGAATTCAGTTGTTTGCAATTTTGACTACCTTTCTGAAATCCCTGAGGAGACCACACCAGAAGACAAAATGTAGATATATAATACCCAGAGGGGACATGCATGTTTTAACATAAACAAGATAATCTGAGACAGGTCACTTTGTAATGTGGGACACCTGTATTAAAAAAGCCCAAATCACCTCAATTTACGCATGGACAAGAAGTTAAATAAGAAAATGTAGCCTTCATAGAAATATCAATAATTCACATAAACATATAAAATGTAATATTTATTCATAAAGAGCTGAATGACTAAATAAAGAAAATATCGGGAAAATACTTATAAATAAATCTCTACACAGAATTTACTGATCCACTGTGATAATTTATTTAAATTAATTTCAAACATTCTATTAAACAGTAAGTAAAAGTTAGATTAATGCATTAGGCTATTCATTTGGTTATTTGTTTAAAGTCTCCATTCTATTAAAACTGGGGATGTTCTTGCAGGTGAGAGACTCATCATCTAGCCGGTCATTCTTTGAGACAGGTTTTTATATATTCATATAAAATGAATACATAAATACTCATACAGTTTATGATGGTAATTGTTAAAAGCTGAGATACTGTACATCTTTCATGGTAGGATGATGGGCCTGCTCACAACAGCTACTGAGAACTCACAACGTAATAGCCTTCAGTACTAGCCTACATTAACACAGACATTAACGTGTGGGCAATTTATGTAACTTGGGCCTACATAAAATATTTAATGTTGACTTTTGTTGACTTTTGTCTCCTGGTTGAAAGTCTGGGTCAGCAGGCCCTGATGCTCTTGCAGCTCCCCTTCTGTCTGTCTCCAGACTCACATGTCTTCTGCTGGTGGGAACTCCCTACCTGCCGTCCACCATCTCACTGGGCCTCACAAACAGAGACAAGGCTAAAAGTGAGTCACATCATTCTCTGTTGAGTGTTGTTGTGGAGATAAAATGGGATGTTTTTGTTTCTGCAGCTCAGCGAGTTCAACAAACATGTGATGAAGGCCAGGTAGAGGAAATAATTTGATGACAGTGTTAATGTATGGATACTGTATCGGCATGGATGTGATGGACCGAATTACAACATTAAAAACATTTGCGGAGACAAAGCAACTTGAGCATCTGAGTTAATTTGCATTGTTTCCCATGTTTTGTCATGAATCAGATTTCTAGTTAAATTATGTACATTTTTTAATTTCATTGTTTTGTGATTTTTATACTTTTACACTACCAGCCACGAGCGTCAGCAGACTGAGGTAGTGTCATTTTACTCCACTAGAGGGAGCCACAAACCTGACCCACATTCAGTGTTTGATCCAGATCAGATTTTTCTCTGTTTGAGAGCTGAGGCATCTGAGTTCTGTATTTTAATAATTTAATTATGTATAGTGAGTTATTTAATGTGTGGTTATGTGGTTTTGACAGATGACCCCAAACCCCAGCGCTGAACACAGACCAGGAAACACAGTGTGGACATCATGGTTTTTAATTTCGTACTGCAGTTTTGAGTGTGATGCTCTACCTTTGTGTTCATAACACAAAAAGATATTCACTATATAGAAATTTCTTCAGATGTTTATTAAACAAATCATCTCCTTGAGCTGGCATACACAAACACAACTGCAACTACTTCCTGTTAACATTGCCTCAGGATCTAATTACTGCGCATACAGACATGCAGGGAAAGTAGTCCAGGCAATTTCAGTCAACTCACATGACCCAATGAACAAATGAAAATAATTTAAATATGTTTTGGTTACAAAATGCTTGTTTCTGAAATCTCAGCGCTGGCTCTCAGTGTGTCACAGAATTGATATCCAAATACTGCTGCTCATCTATAAATCACTTAATGGTTTTTCCAGTTGAACTCTCTAGAGCCCTCAGAGTCAAAGAAAACATGGAGAAGCAGCAAATAGCTACAAGAAACTTCCAGAAGAAATTAAACTTTCTCACGTTTATGTTCACCATCGCCTTCTGATAGACTACAAACCTTTAATTTACTGTAAAAAAGAAACACGTCAATACTTGTAGTGGCGTGATGACTGACCAGAGGGGTAGAACAAGGTACAAGGTTGTTTATTTGTCATTATTACTGTACAACATGTTAGCGTCATGCAAACTTTGCTAAGCTGTAAACCTCACTCTACATTTCGATTTTATTATTTTTAAATTATCAAATGCATCTATATCTCTATCTATCTCTCTCTATATATCTATATCTATATATCTATATATCTATATATCTATAGATATATAGATATCTTTGCAGGTTTTACTCACAATCCTTTGTGTCCTTGTGTGTTTTTCATTAGCAGGAAGGAAGTGTTGAGGTAAACATAATCCAGAACAGATTCTGCGGAACAGAAGCTGCTATTTCAGTACTTACTGAAATATTTAATGCAATTGCAGCCTGTCCTGAGCTAAATATTATGTTGTTTGTTTTCACACTGAAGGTTTCTGTCGATTTTAGACCAGAAGAAAACAGGACAACTAAACAGACCTGAAGTTATCACATGATTTAATGAGTTCAAGCCATTTAAACATTTGTTTCTGTAACAGTTAACAACTGATGTAATTTTGTAACTTTACACTTAATTAACAAAAGAAGAATACACAGGTATGCATATATAATATCCTACAAGAAGAACTGATGGATAACAGTCTGGACATTTTTTCTTGCCCTCTAACTGTCGAACTGTATTACACAGTTTTACACAATAAAACTGAGAGTTTCTGTTTCCTCTAAAAGCACATAACTGTCTGTCTAGTGCATAAATTATGATTTTTACAGTACTGGTGTTGCAGTTTCCCGTCAGTGGTTTCCTGCTTTCACTTTAGTGTAGAAGGTCAGTGCAGCTTTTCTATCTGTGGAGGGAAGGACACAAAAAAATTATTATAAGTGAGGCACAGTGCTACAGTCATTAGGTGGACAAAATAATAGAAACACTTGCCTTTATTTCACTGTTCACACCAGGCCTCAAAAGGACTCACATGTAATTTTAATGTATCAGGCTGAAGTGGACCTTAGATACTTTTATATGCCATTTCTTTATATTATTATATGTTAACCAAATGATCTGAACTAGATGAAACACAAAAGCAGTAGAGAAGTAAATAAAACATACAACAAACTTTATATCAGTCCTATTGATGCTACTATTGATACTCACGACTATATGTGGTGGTTAAATGACTCAATGTGAAGGAAATATCAGGATGCAAACAGACCGCGTTTTTCTCTGACTGTAACATCCACCTGTATATTTACTAATTAATAGTAGTGAGTAGCTTTATTTTGTACATACTTTATATCACATCCACCTGCCTCATGTACATAATAATACTGCATAATTACAGCGCTAAATTGTTTATTTATTCCATCATCCTTTGCACTATTTCACTGCACTACTGTCTTCCTGTCTACAAATGTGTTTTTTTTTGTTATGGTTGTGTCTTTGTTTACTTTTGTTGTACAATGTAGTTTGTGTCTGTGTTTGTTGAGCTTGCTGTCCTGTCCTGACTTGTTTTATGTGTGTGCACTGAGTGTAATGTAAAACCAGAGTCATCTTACTTGTTTTTGTACAGTATGTGTACACATACCTGTTCATTAAAGGGGATTCTGACTGAAGTAACCAATCAGAAACAAGGAGGACTTAAACTGAGGACAACCACATATTTAAACATGTAAAAAAAAAAAAAAAAAAAAAAAAACTGTGTGACACTGTAAATATACAGTATTGATAGTAAATTAACTAAAATAGATGAATTATTTCCACTTCTAAACCTTGTGTCTACATACTGTTTGATCATTGGAACTATGCATTATAACTCATAAGCTGACAGTCCTCTGTCCCGGTCCCTGGTTCAGCCTTGTATGACCCATATGTATAGAACTGATAGACTCATTAGTAGCCTAAGTAATTACTACCTATGAGTAGCTGCCAGACGACAACATTTCCCTCTCAAATGTAACTACTTTATTTCAGTCAAAGATGCATAATTTGTCAGTGTCTATCAAGGTGAAAATGGACCAAACCACCATCTTTAATCTGTCTTTAAATAAAATAACAGGAGGGTGACATCGTTGGCAGAGACCAGCTTTAATGTACTGCATGCAAGATTTAACTACAACCAAAGCCCTTCCTAAATAAATTAAATGTTTGCTGATTGTTGATTGATTTTTAAATGTGCATACAGCGCAGTACAAAAGGTAGTGAGACTGAATCTTACATCCATAACAAGCGAGCACAATACATTATGGTAAAAACAACTTTATTCATCCTTCCCCAGGTATTTCCCCATTGATGCTTGAATGTTGTTCCTGGAATGTAAGTTGCTTTGGATAAAAGCATCTTCCAAATGAGTAATGTAAATGGATTTGATGGACAGAATTACACTATTAAAACATATGTGGGGACAGAACAACCTGAGCATCCGTTGATTTCAGTGTTCTGTGGTTTTTTGAAGAACACACATTGTAAATTAACCTACCTTTTTCCCTTTTAAGTCACTCAATTGCTTTTACATGTCACTGGTATAAATGTGACAGCCACGACCTTCAGTAAGACAGAAGTAGCCTATAGTGTCATTTTACTCCAGAGGGAACCACAAGCCGGACCCACTGACCGACATTCGCTGTTAAATCCACATCAGATTTCCCTCCGTGTGAGAGCAGAGGCAGTTTCGGTTTTACAAGTTTTAGTAATAAATAGTGAGTTAATGAATGTGTGGTCACATGGTTTTGAGAGATAACCTCAGTACCACTGTTGTGCAACTAAATATATCAGTCAACCAGAGTGAATATAAACCAGAAGTGGACATCATGGTTTTAGATTTCATGCTGCAGGTTTTTAATTTTGATAATCTTTCATAACAAAAAAGATACTGTGTCTTCCTTGGGTATGAATATTGCTTGCCTTATCCAATTTGTAGCATTATATTTTAAGACGCAGTTATTTTAGCATTTATACTAATGTTAGGTAAATGTTTTGTGTTTTTTTATGGCATTTTTGCAACATTCTTAACATATTGCATTTCTCACACTGACATAGCCCTAGATCTGACTGACTAGGCCTAAATCACAGCTTACATTTTCAATGTAGCCTACAAAAAAATAATAAACAGCTGAGGTTCTTAAAGTCAGCAAGTGGGGAAAGAATCTGGATATTTCAGATGTCTTTTGGATCTACTGTTATTATCATTTGTTTTTATTATTATTATTATTATTATTATAACCTTAATCTTTATTCAGAGAGCCTGTTATTTATCTTGTCTGAGTCGAGCTTATACAGCAGAGGTCACTAATAGGCGGACCGCGGTCCGGATCCGGACCCAGCCGCCGTCCTCTCCGGACCGCCGACCTACAGCCCGTTTATTATTGAGACTTACTACCTCGTGACGGAGCGTTTCTATTTTAACCCGCGCAGCTTTTCTAGCATTTACTGTACTGGTTTAGAGGACCAGGAAACTCACAGACCAATCGCATGTGCTCCAATCCTCTCATGTGACGCTGCTCAGCCAATCAAATCTGTGCATACCGATGCTTGCGAGTCGAGTCCGCGAGATTCACCAGAGACGTTTTGGAAACACACCCGAATTGAGGAGACGAAAGATAAAGAGATTTCACATGACTTTTAATCAAGAATGTACAGATTTTTACATGTACATTCCTCCCATGGGCAGTTCAAAACCAGAATATCTCATAGATCTCCAATATGCTAGCTGGAGCTCACGTTTCTCACTGAACAACAGAAAGTAGGAAAGTGGTAGCTCTGTAAGAGGAAATGAAAGAGAAGAGGAGGCATTACAGCTGTTAATTTGTGTTTATTATAAAATTGGTTAAGACTACACTTCATGCTACACTTTTTATTACATTTTTTCTAAAAATTAGGCACTTTAATTTAGTTTACTTAAATTTAGAATTTATTATTTGAATAGTTATTATTTATTATCCTTCCAGTTTGATGTGAAAACTGACTGATGTTCTGGACCTTTGCTTCGGGAAATTTTCTCTAACTGGACCTCTTTGAAATCTAATTGAATACCCCTGTTATACAGTATCTCTCAGAGACACGTCGGCCCGGAAGCATCACGTGGTGAAGAATCATATGGTATCCAGAGCTGTTAAATAGGATGTATGTATTTGTTTATTTAACGGTTCTGATTCTAGAAGCTAGAAAAGTCGCCCCTCATCATGGAAACAGAATATGCCTCGTCTTCATCGCTTCCTAGCTACGTTATAAGGAGTTTACAGTGAGCGTGACTTGTTCTGTAGTTTGACGCCAGTTGGGATCCGCTCTGGACTCTCACTGTATGTTTGAGTTCTGCAGTCTGGACGAAGCCTGTTGGAGGTAATGTTAAGCTCATTTGTTTCACAGCTATTAAAAGTTAACTTTTCATACATTCATTTGAATTTCCACCCAAGCGATAATCAGTTTAATAAAAATAAGTTAAGTAGCGACTGTGTCCTTTGTTCTCCTGATAGTTGAGGCTAGTGTAGCCTATGAACTGAAATGTGAATTGAAAATAGTTGTTATATTCATTATGGCTTCACTGTAACTTTAAAAATACCGTTATAACATTGATGTGATGTGTTGATCAATTGCTGATTGCTGTTTAAGCCATTAAACAACAGCCAATGCATTTACATTTATCTGACGCTTTTATCCAAAGCGACCCCCAGCTTCCACGTCTTCTCCTTATACAAGCCTGGCAGAAGTCCACTGCTCCAGTGACTGTTGCAGGGATCTGACAAAGTCTCACTAACCAAATGACCCAGCAATTTTTCTCGGGTACAAGACGTGTACAAAGTGTAACACAGAAAATCTGGTCCGTTCAACCACAGTGGTTTAAAGACTTCCAGTGGCTAACATTATGTCAAACGCTTTGTTCTAGCGCAGTTTCTCCAGCTGCCTCCTAACCTGGCTGTTTGAGATAGATGGGCGGGTGGGGGAGGTACAGAGGGGCACAATGCTTTCTGCTGGGGGGAAAGATGTTGAGGTTGAGGGGTGTGGGTGGTGTGTGTCATTGGTCCTGATCACTGAGGAGGTGTGAGAGGGGAGCAGCTGGAGGGTGTGGTGTCTGTGTGACTGGGGGCATCTGAGCTGAACCTATTGAAGTACACACTCAGCTCATTAGCTCTGTCCAGACTTCCCTCAGCCTGATTTTCCGTCACCTTGAACCCTGTGAGGGTCTTCATTCCTGGCCTCACATCTCTCACGTTGTTTTGCTGGAGCTTATCTCTAGCTTTTTCCTGTATACCTCCTTGCTCTCCCTCAGGCCCCATCCATGTTGCTTATCAAAGGTGATCCCCGTCTAGATTAATCTGACTGAAAACGCACCCGTACAAGTATGCACGTTCCTGTGTGAAGATTTTTTTTTTTTTTTTTTTTTTGCATGGACCAATAAAAAGCTGGGACTGGTGCTGAATGTAACACAGGAATGTGGGCAGCAGAAAACAGACAGGAGTACACAGTACAAGTTTAGGCAGGTAACAGTTACAGTTTTGGGCATGCTACTTGGAAAATGTGAGCTATAAGCTACTAGCTACTGCACATTAAATGAAGCTTCACTACACAGAAGCTACCCCCCAGTGAAATGTAGCAAGCTAAGCTGGGGGGGGGGGGGGGGGGGGGGCTCTCATGGAAACAAGTTTCTGCCACTAGATATCAAAGTTTCCTCCTCACTAGAGGAAGAGCTGTCCAGGCTGGACTCTGATCCTTCTCACAAGAGGTGTTACAGTAACTATCACAATAGAAAGTAAACTCAATCGTGCACTGGTACTTTTTAACTGCCAATGTTGTTTTAGGATTCACTGGCAATCGGCCTATCTGTCTTTATGGTATGAGGACAGGTTGGGTTTAATGCACTGGAATGCAGACACTGGTGTGAATGAATTAAAAGTAAGATGACAAGTTATAAACAGTCCCTATTTCAACCCGGGAAGGGCGTGAAACGCACACGCATTCTTCAAAGCTCTCTGTGGAGCAATTTCGTTTCTCGTCTTGACGGGTGCATCTAGAAACCACAGGAAGCATTTCAGAAGAGCGTACGGTCTTTGTTTTTAGCCTGATGTGAGTGTGAGTGTGAGTGTGAGTGTGAGTCAGTCTCTCTCTCTCTCTCTCTCTCTCTCTCTCCCTCTCCCCCCCCCCCCCCCATGTTGGCTAGAGGAGCTGAAATCAGCGAGATCACAGCTTCATTCACATCGGTGAAGAACATTTACACAGAGAATTTTAACATGTAAGTACTTCTGTCTTGTTGTGTTACTTCATTAAAGCAATGTAATTTGTTTTTGTAAAAATATTTTAATATCGTCATCTAGATTACTACCCTATATCTTTAGATAATGTATTTCAGAAATGTTTGGGGCCAGGTACTTCACTTTTGTCTGAAAATTGCAGGTCATCCAGGTTATCATGTCGACAAGGGTAGCATGAAGTTAGGTAGATTAGAAGAGGTTTTAACACAATTTAATATGAAACACAGACGCATCGAATGTATGAAAAGTTTCATGAGATAAAGCTGAGTGCAGTGGCAGGTAGTAGAGACGTGGACTGAAATGCAGATAATACACGAGCAAGGTGCAGTTCAAACAGAGCTGTTTGTTTGGAACCTATAAAATTCCATTCATTCTCTAGAATTAAAAGAAATACAGTCTATGGTTTTGACACATCGATTATAGGGGGAAAGACTCCCCAATAGCTGGTTTTGTCGACATTAAGAATATCATGTCTGGAGGTTGGCAAGTATCCTGATCACACTGATCTGACCATGATTATTGATTTGGCTGTGCAAAACAAAACTAAGTGAAAAAACTTCACAAATCCTCACGATAACTTCAGCAGCTCTGTGCAGCTCACATTCCCTACAGGACAAGGCTGTGCTTCATATTATACATTTTTATATTGCAAAACTCTACAAGCTAAGTTAGCCGATCACAAACTGTCTGCCACCCACTGCGCGAGACCAGGTTCGCTTGATTCCTATCACAGCTTCCACCAGTGTCGCGCTGTAGTATGTAGCTACACCGTAGGCTATGCACGTAGCCAGGCATTTATACTTGTACGTTGGTGTACCCGTCATTCTGCAGTTACACTTCAGTGTGTAGTTACACTTTTGAGGAGGTGCACATCAGGCTACGCCATAGGGTAAGGGGCTACGCCGTCGATTTCTGGTTCAGTCGTCTGCTCACATGCCACAGTTTGAATAGTGTCATTTAACAAAAGGCGACATCTTGTGGTGGTTTTTCAAATTTTTGAGACACATCCAACCTCCTGATTGTCACGGTTTGTCGTGTGGAGGCAGGTAGTAGGAGCCAAATGCTGGACACGGATAGTACAGGTATAGTTCAAGGGGTTTTAATAAACAAACAAAGGCGAACACACTTACAAACTGAGTGGCTGATGACAGAGTCCAAAAACCAAAGGTTGTCCAACAGAAGTCCAACATCCAATAACGAGTGAGGCTGACAACACGAGAACACACTGCAACACAGGGTGACAACATACAATGACCCGACAAGGACAAGACAGAAACACCAGGTACATACACACAGGGGACTAACGAGCAGGGCGGGAGCAACACAGGTGACAGACATGAGATTAATGAGGCACAGACAGGGAGAGAGAGAGCAGGGGAAAACCGAGACAGACATGCAGAGGGATAACTGGGGTAACAGACATGACGAGGGTTACCAAACACTAGATGACAGACAAGACAGACCCCCAAAACCCAACAGACCAAAATAATGCTAACTAAACACAAAACTGCAAAACACGGCATGATAAGCAGGACGGGTTGAAATGAAACCAGGAAACATGAGGCCTGTTCTCTCGGATACCAAGTCAGGACTCAACTTTGGTTCCATTGTGAGATTTGCATCATTAATATGTTAAACTGTTTCATAAAGATATAATTAAATTAGAATACTGAATAAATGCACCGCTTCACTTCACCAACAGCTAAAGCCTTTTATTTTGTTCTCCGGGACAGTCAGAAGGACTACAAAAATCACAATCTCTAATTTTAAGCACGGAGAAAAAAAGTCAATTAATCGATCAGATGATCAATTTAAAATAATCAAGCTATTAAATACTTACATACTTGCCATGTAAGTGCTAATTTTTTTCCCTGAGTAGTGGGTGGAATTTGCAACCCTCCTGCCAATTTTGGTGAGTTTTTGTCCAGCGGTTTTTGCTGCCCTCTCGGCAATGCGGCAATGATCGGGATCCAAGCAAGTCGAAGAGGAGAAGAACAGATGCAGATGACTTGAGAGATTAAAGTGATGACAGAATTTGGATATTTTGAGATAATTGGGGAAACGCATGCTTGATTTTAACAGCATCAACTTGAGATAAGAGAGGTTCATTATATGTACGTAACTAAGAAGAAAGTGTCGCTTGATCCGAATAAAATAGTCTAAATAGAAATTTGTCTCACTATGATCTGAAAAACCCTTATTGTCAGCAAAAATGACCCGGTCACCAGGGGATTTGAACCCTAGTGACATACTGACTGGGCTACTGGTGAAAGGCTGTTTCCACACACATTCTCACAGGTTGAGGTAGGGACGTCACATGTGCCAGACCCGGTTAGTTTTCTCAGTTTGAACTTAAAACGTTTACAACAGTCAAGATGTTGGTGAGAAAATCCTGAAAAAAATCACACATCATATTGGGTGTGTTGTTAATTATTTTGATGGCATTTAATCCAAGACTAAGCAAAAAAGAAGATGTTGTGCATACTGTACAATTTATAGCAAGATACTGAATATCACTGCAGACTCATCGTTTGGCCGACCTGAAAACCCTTTGAAACACTTGATATTGGCCATCTGGAGAACGACTCTGTCGAGTTTGGTAGCATTTGATGAAAGACTTGTGGAGATATGGATGTTAATTGAATTAGCATATTCTGAAAAATATAGTGACTGACTTCTGAATTGATCATAGTTTGATGCAAACGTTAGTCACATGTCAGTGGATGTGCTGAAAAAAAATTCAGCTCTCTAAAGTACTGGTGATTTTCTTAGATTTTTTGAAGTTTGGAATGAGAAATGTCTGGAAATTTACATTTCTTGTAATAAGCCACGGTCATTACCAATTTTTATACATCAACTGAGTAGTGACCCGAGATCGTACAAACCGAATTTTGTACGAATCCATGCAGCGAATTACACGTGTTATAAACTTTTTGCAAGTGTAGCTGTAAGGTGACAATGCTAACCACTGTCTGCAGATTTATGAGCATTTATGTAAAATTGTATGTAAAGACAAAAAGTAAATTTTTTTTATGGAAAAAACCAAATTGACGTATCAGAATTCTTTTGATAACTTTTGATCAGCGATGTTCGTAGATGATCCTGCCAAAGTTTCAGGTCGATTGGGGAAACCGTCTGGGAGTTCACAAAAATAGGTTTTAGAGAAAAGTGGTAAAAAGTCGTATTATTTGACATTTTTTGAGCAGAAGACCATTGGAGCAAAGATGCAGATGAATCCAGAGATTAAAATTAAGATTAACATTAAGATTAAGATCAACTTTATTGTCCCCTGAGGGAAATTTGTCTTGGGCAATAGTGCCGCATGAGGCTCCAGTAACAACAGTAACATATATAGACTTCACACTCGCATGCATCGCACAGTCCGCACCATACATTTCCATTACATTGCACAAGTGTCACAAAGTACAACAGCCACAGTTGTAAGTTAAAAAAAACTTAAAGACTTTAAACAAAGGCGTTTTTGAGGTAATTGCAAAAATGTGAAATTGGTTGTTATAACGCCACCATGAGGGTGGAATTTCCAACCTACGTTCCAATGTTGGTGAGTTTTCGTGCAGCTATTATTGCTGCCCAAACACTTTTAATGGAGAGAAAGAAAGAAAGAATAATGAGAACAAAAACAATAGGGCTAATTATGTACTATCTGATACTGTGAATCTGATGGCTGATGGCACAAATGAGCCACCAAAGCGCTGAGGTAAAATACATTTAGGCCTATTGTTCCTGGAAATGTAGTATAAATGTAGTATAAATTACAATACAATACTGAAACAGTTTAGTTAATATTGTACTGTTGGTTAATCATCATAAAATGTTTCAATACACAGGAGATCAGAGTCAATGGTTTAATGTTCCCTCCTTTTTCCAGGTCTATCTTGAGTGATCGGTTCACGTCATCCAATCATCGCTGCTCCTGGTGATGACGTGCACCTTTACAAGAATGTTCATGAAAACCTGGACATGAAGACCACCTGGATGGTTATGGTTCATTTCGGGAACTTCTTGCCTGGCTTTACCTTATTTCCATTCTGGACTCTCACTGTATGTTTGGTATGTACGGTGGGCTTGACGCCCGTTCTAGGTAAGCTCATATGTTTAGCTACTAATATTAGTTTGTCCCACTTCACTGAGCGGGGACTGATATTAAAATAAAAGGTTCAGTTTGCTAAAAACTTACAAAAATAAATACATTTTTCAGTTTAAATAACTGGTTCAGTATAAGTCTGCTGCCAGAAAAGTTTATAAAACTGACGTTTTGGGCCGTTGGTCATATATATAAAATATGTCCTTTAGGAAATTATAATTTGCATTTTCACCATTTTCAATTGAAGATTAATGAAGAAAGTAACAGATCAATCAGTGATGGAAATAACCGTTAATTGCAGCTCTATTTCAAAATCTTCTGTAACACCGCTGATCTAAAATACAGTTACTGTTCCTGGAAAAGTTTTGGAAGTAAAAATAATAGTTGTGATTATATTTTTGCTTCTGATAATCATAACAGTATGCTAATTAAAAAAAAAAATCTTTTAAGAAGATTTATATTTTCCCTCCATTTCTCAGGTCAGCCTCAGTTGATCGGTTCATCTCGGCCAATCGTGGTCGTTCTGGGTGATGACATCATCCTGCCGTGTCGTTTGGAGCCTCTGCTGAACGTGGAGGACCTGACAGTGGAGTGGTGGCGTCCCGACCTCCCGCCTGACCCCGAAGATCCACTGAGCCCGTACAAGTATGTTCACCGTTACCATGACAACCAAGATGTAGAGGAAATGAAGATGTCGTCATACGCTGGGAGGACGACGCTGTTCAAAGACGAGCTGAAACACGGAAACGCTTCACTCAAGATCCTCAACGTGAAGCTCTCTGACCAAGGAAGCTACAGATGTGTCATCCCACAGCTGGGGAGGGCTACGATTATTAGGATTGTTGTTGGTAAGTTTCTTTAGATTAATTAACTCTGCTGCTGAAATAAACATTTTATAAGTTTATAGTTCCCTTGCAAATTTACAGTCATTCTCAAAAACAGTTTTAATGTTTACAGCTTGCATTTAACTGCTTCATGTGACCGATCGCTACAGAAAATTACGGATGAACATTTAATATCACGCACTGCAAGAGGAGCCTGAACTACAGAGCAAAACAAGAGCTGATGTTTGATTTGAACATCTGGCTGTTTGTTAACTAATGTGTAAATGAACACATTAGCTTTTATTTTGAAATGTATTTTAATGTAGAATTTTTTATTTTATTTATTTAATCAAATATGCTTTAACATGATAATAGTAATTTCCTTCCGTTATATCATTATTAGAACTGTAAAAATACGTTGTAAAAAGTGTTGAAGGCGTGGTAGACATGGCGTGTGCACATATCAGGGTGGTACAAATAAAGTGAACTATATTAACGTTAAGGACATTATTTAAATATTTTAAAGAAAGTTTCTGAAAAGAAGAAATGTATCCTTTTGTAACACCAGTGCATTTCAAAATCAAATTTATCTTGAGTAGACAGGATCCTGAGTTTACCAGCCTGTTAGACTCTATGAATTAGTACACGGTAAAAATCCATATTGTCGTAGAATCAGCATCACTTTAATTTTCCAAGAAGTTTACACTTTGAAGAATTTGACTGGTAAGAATTAAAATATGGGGCATGAAAAGCTAACTTATTCATTTAGGAGGGGTGACCAAAACAGTATAAATAACCAGCAAGCCTTTAAAACAGTAATCTGATGATTAATCATGTGACTCCATGATGGCACAGTACAGCCTCACAGAGCTGCTAGTATGACCGTAGACTCTCAAAAAGTTGAAATTATTGTTATCCTGTATCTGTGTCTCTTTTTATTCTGTTGTTTTGTAAAGATTTACAAATCTAGTGTTTTTTCAGATCTAAACTCGACAACTGAGGCTCCGCTGTTTCCCACAAATGTCAAAACTCCAGATCGAAAGGAGGAGACGGATGTTCAAGGTGAGGAGAGGGGGAGAGAAAGAATTAACATAATTAGTGCTGAATCACGTTCATATTCATGTATCTGTTGTATTTCAGTTACCGTAACTTTTGTCTCCGTTTGTCTTTTTTCACATCAGGAGCTCGATCCCATCCGGGCGTTTGGATCCCAGCTGTGGTTTTCTGTGTCTTACTTGTCCTGGTAGTTTGTGGTGGTGTCGATGGATATGTGATTAAACACAAGCCTCAAAAACTAAATGTGAGTCAGAAGGAAACCAAACAACTTGTCCCTCCAGCTTCCACAGTATGGGTAACCCCAGACCAGCCACTTCCAGTCTAGTTGCCTTGCTGAGGATCTCGTTGGTATTTGATGTTAACGTTCTACACGTTCCTCTCTTGGATCTGTCTCATCAGTTTGGGGATTCAGAGCAGCAGAACCTACAGCCACGAGTGGACCCACTGGATCAGCAGGAGGGAACTGAGTAGACTCTCCCCAGAAAAGGCTTTGCGTGTGGCATCAACCTCAGCTGTGTGGAGTACTCCAGCACATCTTTATTTTGAGCTCAGCTTCATCAGTGAGGATAAGGAGGCTGAGAAAAGGGAGGTAGTGGACTCCTACATTGAGGGGTGCAGACTGAACCACATGCAGAAGGTAAGATGAAGGAGTTGTTGGTGGACTTCAGTAGACGGAAAACATCCCTAATCCCTCTACCTGTTTCCACCCATGCGGTGGATGTGGACACTCTGCAGGACTACAAGTACCACAATGCACCACAGATTGACAGGAACTAATCCCTTCTTACCATAGACTGTAGGCCTATATAAGAATTGGACGTAGTCATCGTGACTTCACTCGTTGGGTTGTCGACTACCGTTTTGAAGCCTTGAGTTTGGCCGATAGGGTGCTGCCATGTTGAGTTCTTGCAACCAGCAGCAGCAGACGAGATGCTGGAGCTAGCTAGCTTGCATATAGCTGCATCTGTAATTCACGCTGTCATTTTAACAGGGATGACAATTTTGTCTAGTGAACAACAGACTTAAAACAAATGTACTCACCAGAGAAAGTGAACAACTCTTAATCTTTATCAACAGCGCTGATTGTAAATCTGGTTCCCGCTTGCTTCTTACATTCATTTCAACTCGGACATAATGAAAAAGGGGACATAATGTAAATATCAAGAACATAATAACTTGAATCTTATTGATCATATTTTTTTTTTTTAAATGTATACTTAAATAATAAATAATAAAAAACTAAAATTATTGTGAAATTGTCAGTGGATTTGTGTGATTTTATTCTGACCATTTTCTCAAAGAGTGCCGATGAATGTAATTTGTAATGTAGGCTACCACAATCAAAAATAGTTCCTATAATAAAGACCTTCATTACACAACCATTCACACTCATATTCAGACATTCAGAAGCATGTGTTTTTGACTGTCCCCAGGTTCACTGTGTGGTACAGAATTAGTTAAAATGTTTGTGCTTTAATTTAATACCTCTAGTATAACTTGATGCTGAGACTCCAAGTTTGAAATACATTTCAGTTTATATTGTGATCAAATGTTGCATTTTCCTAAAAACACATTCACAAGACACTAATGAGGGAACATTTCTTTATGTTTTACTGTTATTTCCCCCAGCTTTCATCTGCTGTTATCTTCACAGAGTCACAGTTTTTAAAATCATCACTGCTTAGTCAGTGTTTAGTCTGCAGGAGTAGCACAAAATCCTTGGCCATGTACAGAAGCATTCTCTATGGGGCCCTTCCCACATCCCCTTCCCTGTGGCTCATTTCAAGCAAGAAGTGAAACGAGTGGAATAAGTCCCTCTCTCATCAGTACTTCACCGAATAATTTGTGGGCAATATGACAAAACTAATTCATAACACCAGGGTCAGAATCACAGATATCAATCTTTTTGATTTATAATATTCTCTGTTAATGACTTATCCTCATGCATGGTAAAACACAAGACTGTGTTTAAAGGTTTAAAAAAACAAATGTAACTCTGTATTGTGTAAATGCTCCTAACAAAAAAATGATCCACAAAAGCAAAAGGCTGAAGAAGCAAATACTGCGTGAAATAGGTATATTCAGTTGCAGGTGAACGGTTCATCTCTGCCAATCGTAGCTGCTCTGTTGATGACCTCATCCTGCAGCCTGACCTTGGACAGCAACTATGTTCACCATTACCGTTCCATCTCTTCACAAGCTACAGTACCTCTTGTCAATACAATCAATACTAAATCAAGTACACAAATCATACTGGATGGAAATCACATGTATCATAGTTACAGATAACCAGAGGACGGCCATTTTAATTTTTCACGAAAACTAGGTGAACTGTGGACTTATCTGACCACAGCACATGGTTCCACTTTCAGTCCATCTGAGATGACCTCGGGTCCAGAGAACATGGCGGCGCATCTGCACACAATTGATGTATGACTTGCTCCTGTGTAACACAGTTTCAGGTTGCCTTTCTGGATGACTGTGTTAAGTGACAATGGTAATCTGAAGTAGACGCGTGAGCCCGTGTGGCTGTATTTGTTACAGAAGCATGATGTTTTCTCAGGGAGAGCTCACACAGTGATTTCTGACCTGGTCCTTTACGCTCCAAATGTCTCCAAGTTTAGTCTGGGGGTCCTCACACAGAAGATTTTGAGCATTAGGTACTTCATTTTCTGCATCTGGTGAAAATTTCTGCCATTCATGCACCAAATTAATGGTGGACATGTTTTGATTTATACAAAGGAAAACACAAATTTCATGTGGCAGGTGACAAAAATATTTAAGTAATGGAATATGTTGTTGTGATGCTCTTTATTGCTTTAAAATATGTTTCTCCTGTAGATCAACTCATTTAATAACATCCCTGCTGAGTCAACACATACGATTTAGTCTTCACTCTTCTTTTGTGTCTGTTGTTTGGGAAAGTAAACTTTCTGATTGAACCTTTCCACCAAACAAAACTAAATGTCAACACCTGTGATCAGGCAGAAATCTCACCATAAATCCACACGTTAACTTCTACTACAGTGAAAAAGTTAATAGAAACTTTTACATATTCTAGATTTGTTACACATAAAGTGAAAATTTCAAAACTTTTTTTGTGTTTTAATTACAGCTTAAAGCTCATGGAAATCAAAACTCCAGGATCTCAAAATGTATTAGTGTAATTTATAATACATGAATATCGACCTGAGAAAAGCTCTAATCAGCTGTTTAACTCAAAACACCTGCAAAGGTTTCCTGAACCTTTAATCTCTCAGTCTGGTTCTGCTGCTCACAATGAACTATTTTTAATAGATGCACCTTTAGTTGTCTGTAGAGTAGTTTTAATTCAAATGTTTATACGTCTCTTATCCAATAAATCATCCCGTCACTCACTCAGTGTTTAGTCCCTGCCTACGCTTAGGTATGGAGCAAGTATGTTCACAGTTTAGAGTTCATAAAGATGGGATTATATTGTGGGAGGAAAGTGCAGATCAAAGGTGACCTGAAACACGACAAAGATCTCTGACCATAGAAAGTACAGAACTTACATCACATAGTTAGTGTGGGATACGATTGTTAAGCTTGTTTTTGGGATCAACTCAGGTATGAAAAGACTTTATAGACTGAAAAGACTTACTTTACTTTATAAGGAGTTCCCTGTCTGATCTGACGTCACACAGAACATGAAGTGCAGGAGGAAATACCTGTTCCATCAGCTATATAATTATACAAAATATTATATTATATAAAATATTTTAAACAGTTTGACCTCTCATGTTTTAGTTGATAGAAGTGATACTCTGTCTGAGTTTGGTTCCTCCACAGCAGCTGTGCGTTACTTAGAAATGAGAAGCTGGGGGACAGGGCCCTCAGAAACACAGGAGCCTTGCTGCAGTTAACATGAGACAACTGCAGTTTGTTGATTTCAGCAACAAACTAGAGACGTGTCGTGACCTTTGTGCGACTGCTCTTCCCACACATTCTCACCCTGTATGACAAACTCTTTGCTTCAGCTGATCTCTGTACATCCTGAGCCCGTTTGCAAATGTGAAACAAAGATCCTCAAAGACAATTTTAGTTTTTCATCTTTATTAAAGACAGATTTCCAAAACACATTTTATAATATAAATATTTCTGATGTCAAGCGAAGGAATTTCCTACACCCAATGATTATTAATCATCGAAAGCCGTTTGATTTAAAGCTGCACCTTAATTATGTTTCTATAAATATATCAAATGACGACTGATCCTGAGAAGGTGTTACTCAGAGTGACGAAATAATACAACCCGTTCTCACTCCCAAGTCGTCACATATAATCAAGATCTCTGTAACGCACCATAGAGCCCCGTAGCGGTCTATAATTTGTAACAATAAAGTCTGAGTAAGGAGGTGTTTGGCGTGGACTGGACTTTCAACCAAAAAGTCAACAATGAGTGTTTTTATTTGTTTGGTTTGTGAGAACGGGTTGGTCTCCACAGACAACGTCAGCTGTGTGGACAGTTTACGTCTACTCTGGATCATTGTTTGTTTTCTAGATCCGAACTGCACCACCTGTCCAGCACCAGACAGACATTTTTCTCAGGAGCTGAATATTAGACTTACAGTCATCTGCTGGATTCAAACATCATTCTTTAAATATCTGTAAAGAAACTCAGTGTCTCATCACGAGTTTGTTTTTGGAGTCGCCCCAACTGACATTTAAATCTCCGATTCTGGAATTTCTGTTTCCTCTAAAAGCACATTTCTTCTGTATAATCCATACAGTTATGATTTTTACTGTACTGGTGCTGCAGTTTCCTGTCAGTGGTTTCCTGCTTTCACTTTAGTGTAGAAGGTCAGTGCAGCTTTTCTATCTGTGGAGAAAGGACACAAACAAACTATCAACAAGTGAGGCACAGTGCTACAGTCATTAGGTGGACAAAATAATAGAAACACTGGCCTTTATTTCACTGTTCACACCAGGCCTTTCAGTAGCATGAATGTAGAGGGTGCATTATTTTCAGAGAATAATCAGACATGTTCATACGGAAATCCGATCTGGTTTCCTTTAGTTTTGGTATGCAGATCAGATTGTTACAGCCAAGAGACAGAAAGAAGGAAATCTTTTCATTGGGTAAATTTATTAATGAAGTGAAGCCTCAGTAGAGACCAGTGACAGGTGTGTTTTTAAAGAGAAATAAATAAAACAAAATGACAATATGTATGTTAAAGCTATATCAGTGGTGGAAAAGGTCAGTTGCTCTTAATTTAACTGCAACACAAAGGAAAAATACTTAAACTAAATATTATCAAAAGTAAAACGACTCATATACTGAATTTTAAAGTATCTGTCTGAAGTGGACCTAATTAGACTGCTTTTATTTGTCATTTTTTTATAATATCTGTTAATGACTTAATATCATCAGTGTTTATTTGGTAAATAACCAAATGATCTGAACTAGAGGAAACACAAAAGCAGTAGAGAAGTAAATCGTGCATAAAACAAAAATGTGTTTTAAATTCAGATGGATAATTTATTATATCAGTCCTATTGATGCTTACATTGAAACTCACAACTTACAGCCTGACTTTATGTGGCGGTTAAATGATTCATAATGAGAAGAAAATATCAGGATGCAGACAGACAGACGAGAAGCAGTTTTCTCTGACTAACATCCACCTGTATATTTACTACTTACTAGTAATTGAGTATCTTTCATATTACCAAACTTTATATCACATCCACCTGCCTCATGTACATATTAATACTGCATAATTACTGTACAAAATATTAATTTATTTTTATTTATCCTTTGCACTATTTCACTACACTACTGTCATCCTGTCTACAAATGTTTTTTTTGTTTTCTTTTTAGTTTGTTGAGCTTGTTGTCCTCTTTGTTTATGTTGTTTTGTGTGTGTACACTTGGAGTATGTGACCTGAGTCAACTTACTCGTATGTACAGTATGTGTACACATACCTGGCGATTAAAGATGATTCTTACTCTGACTGAAGTAACCAATCAGAAGCCAGAATGACTTTGACTGAAGTATATAAGAGGACAACTAAAGAGGTAGATTCAAATATTTAAACATGTAAATAAATTGGTAAATTAAGTCAAACATATGAATTATCTTTTCTTTTAAGCCTTACCTTTACATACAAAATAGTTTCAATTGTAACTATGTATCATATTTTAAAGCTGATTTTTTATATAAAATCTTCAATCAATCAATAAGCATTTTCATCACACCTCAGTCCCAGTACCATGCCTTAATGATCCATATAGA